GTTGAGTCGGTTATGATGCGGTTTGATGCGGTTAGACGGAGATTTTGCCAACTAAACCTTCAGAAATACATCCTTACAACCGCTGAGGCTAATTGCAGGACTATGGGGGTCCAGACTAATAAGAAAAGGAGGCGTGGTACAGTTCCTGGAGTAGAAATAGGCGACATATTCTATTTCTGGGGGGAGATGTGCTTAGTCGGGCTTCATAGACAAGCGGTCGCTGGCATTGATTACCTGACGGTTGAGGATGGGGAAGTACTACCTCTTGCGTCGAGTGTGGTGTCATCAGGACAGTACGATGATGATACCAATCAGCCTGACATGTTGATCTATTCTGGACATGGCGGATCCAAGAACGATGTACCTCAAGATCAAGTTATGGAAAGAGGAAACCTTGCACTGCAAAGAAGTTTGATGACTGACGTTAGAGTCATCCTAGGCAGAAAAGACCCCTACCTTCTGAAAAAGAAGATATACATCTACGATGGACTTTACACTGTTACTGATATCTATCCTCTGAGAGGGAAATCCGGTTTCATCGAATTCAAGTTTAAATTGGTGAGGAAGGCGGACCAACCTCGTACTGGTTATGCAATGTGGAAAGAAGCTGAAAGGTTGAGGACGCTGAACATGAGTGCCTCTAGGAAGGGTTCTATACATGAAGATTATTCTTTTGGAAATGAGCTTTTACCAGTCCCGGTGGTCAACGAAGTGGACGAAGACGACAAAACCAACCCTGACGACTTTGAATACATCACATCTCAGCATTACACAGATGATATTCCCATCGATAGCCAAGCACTTGGATGCCAGAACTGTCAAGAGGAGTCATGCACTCATCTAAGCTGCATGTGCATGCATAAAAACGGAGGCCAGGTACCGTATCACAAGTCCGTTTTGGTTTGTCGTAAACCAATGATTTACGAGTGTGGTGAAGATTGTGTTTGCCCCAACGACTGCAAAAACCGATTGGTTCAAAACGGTTTGAAGCTCCACATGGAAGTGTTCAAGACAATAAACCGTGGTTGGGGCTTACGTTCTTGGGATCCAATCCGAGCCGGAACCTTCATCTGCGAGTTTGCTGGTGTGAGGAAGACAAAAGAAGCAGTGAAAGATGAGGATCACGACTACTTATTCGACTCATCTCGGGTTTACCAAAAGTTTAGGTGGAACTACGAACCGGAGCTTGTGTGTGAGAGTATTTGGGAAAGCGTCCCTGAAGTATTCAATCTGCCGACACAAGTCTTGATAAGCGCCAAGGAAAAAGGGAACGTTGCTCGGTTCATGAACCACAGCTGCTCGCCCAATGTTTTCTGGCAGCCTATTGAGTATGGTGGGTACGTTCACATAGGGCTGTTTGCAAAGAAGCATATCCTTCCATTGACAGAGTTAACATATGACTATGGAGTTTCTTCTGTGGAGAAGGTTGGAGAAGATGAGTTACTTTACAGAGGCAACAAGATTTGTCTCTGTGGTTCAGACAAGTGTCGTGGCTCCTTCGGCTGATATGTACTTTTTTTATCGTTTGTTTCTTTTGTGATTTCCTTCTTTTTTATTTTATTTCATCATTTAATTTTCTTTGTATTCAAAAACTGAAAAAAATAATCCTTGTTTTTTATTTTATTTCGTCATTTAATTTTCTTTGTATTCGAAAAATGAAAAAAAAAATTCCTTGTTTTTTTTTATTTGTTGTTGTATGTTTTGTCTTTATCTATATATATAAAGTTAACTTTTTCTCTCTTCTCCTTATGCCACATCAGTTGCCACATCATCATTCATCTTAATTTTTTACATTAATTTAGAATTACAAAACTTTAGTTTTTAATTTCTTTTCTACCTCATAACTTAGCTATTATTTTATTTTTTTATATTCAATAGTGGTTTTAAGAAAATAAATCTATACTATATAAAAGTTGAGGCTATAAGCTTTTGAGAGCGTCCACATAGGATTTTAAACGACTAATAGTAATTAGACATCTAATTAGTTAACATTTTTCCATCTTATTAATTAACATTTTTAACTTCTATTTCTTTTTTATACAAAATATTAATAAAAAGGAAAAATAAATATAAAGAAAAAAGAGAATTGTAAACTTATGAAAAACAATATATGAAATATATAAAACTTACATTTCTTATTCTTATTTTCTTAATCTTCTTATTTTTTAACCAGAACAAGAATATTACCAAAAATATATATTCGATTAACCCTACATATTTTTAGTATAAATAATAAGAAGAGGTATCACATTTGATCATATTTTTTAAGTTGTAAATTCCGAGCCGTCAGCCACTATTAAAGTTTATTACTATTCTAAAAGTATTGGATTTAAAAATAAGTATCAATGAAAGCAGAAACAAGAAAAATTGGCTAGGTGTCGCTCTGATTTCGGGAAAGTATTAGCTGGAGTGTATGGTAAGAATCAACATAAATCACTAGATCATCATAGTTTCTATGTCAAGCAGCATGATCCCAAAAGTTTAAGCATGAAGTGTATATTTTCTTGGAAGACTATAACTACATTTCTTTTTTTTGGATTTTGAACCTAAGTTATGTTTTCTTAAACACCATTTATTTGTTTGGTTGCACTTGAAGCTAATTCCAGCTAATTCCAGCTAATTCCATTTTTTTCTCTATATGGAACATGTGTAATCAAAATGATGAAACAAAGAGAATATCGTGTATCATTTAAGTGCAAAATTGCATCAAGTATTGATGGTTGTTATGGCCCAAATACAAGTTTAGTGGCAGAAAATTAAAGATATCAGTAAAAGAAAGCATAAAGAAGACATGCTTTGTGCCATTGATGTTGAAACTAGGCCCTCTTCCACCCTAGATGTAGAGTTCATATATAAGTCCATGCTGACCTATATCAACTAATTAAGTATTACTGTGAAGAAATATGTGCTGCGAAACTGTCACATAAAGTTAGGAAGCTATGATTAACCTTTATGGGGCCCATATTTATCGTTCCTTCTAGGTCTAAACTAATGAGACAATGAAAGATGTTGCAAAAATCGAAGACAACCAAGAGCACCATTATGCATGTGAGGTGGTGAGGATAAACACTTATGGCCGTTTTAAACCTTATATAAAAGGAAACAACATGATTTACTTTTGTTTAAGTAAACCATTAGTAACCCGGAAAACGCCTAAGAAAGAAAACCTAAAAGTACAAGAAAATGCACCAAACCCTCAATATTGGTGATCAACTATTGCTCCCACCCCAACATCCTCTCTACTCACCAACGACTTGATAGATACATATTCTAAGTGATTTGTGTGGACATAAACTATTTTCGCCCTTATATATATGAAAAATATGAAAACAATGAATGTGAGGAAAAATAAGAAGACATAGGTAATTGTGCCCAATTAAATATGAAAAAAAACAAGATTGATTCATGATTCTTTTGATTCTGTTTGATTCCTTTACAAAATTGATTTTATAATTTTTTTAAATGTGTATTTGAAAATGAATTTTTATGCCTTAATAACAATCTAACTTTCTGTATAAAAGTTTTATAACTATCATCAATCAAATATGATTTTACCAAAATATATCAAATAAACCCACGCGTAGCGTGGGTTCACAACCTAGTAATATAGTAAAAAACATTTATGTCCAAAATAAATAAAACAAGTATCTATTTATAAAGTAATGATCAATTTTTTGATTAATGGGGCTAAATACAAAAACAAAATACAAAACAAGAATATTTATACTATACAGATAAATATACCACTAAATTGATGTCATCCGAAGCCACCTCAAACGAGAACACAACCGATTTTAGGCATAAGAAGTAGAAAAAAACTAAAAAGTAAAATGAAAACACTTGGATAAATAAATAAGTGGATTCACCAGAATAATTTGGCCTACGAGAATTGGAGGCTTTTGAAATGTAAGGTTCTAACAGCTACTATTTGACCTAAATCAAAGTTAAACAAATAATAATAAACATTTCATATACTAAATTAATACAATGACAACAGTAAAAACAAAAAAAATAAACAAAAAACAAAGAAAAATCAAAATATAAATTTTAAAATATAAAAAAATTTATAAAACTTTATTAAGTATCTTGAAGAGTGAGTGATCAGAGTGTAATTAAAAAAATAAAAATCGTAGAGAATTTTGTATAGTATTTTTGCCTGGATCACCAATTCATTATCTGATGGGCTTACCTTTTAAAAGAGGCCCAAAATCAGGATTTAATTAATGTTAGTAGATTTTTTTTTGTCAATAGATTTAATCTAGGGAGATTTGCACAACTAACCTTTTTATGATACCCTTTTCTACAAGTACTCTCTCTAGGTGTCCATTTTCAAAAATACCCTCTTCAATGTACAAAATGACTAAATTACCCTCCTTTATTATAACCCATGATGAAGAAAAGAATATTCTTTCCAACAAGAAGAATATTCCTTCCGAAAAATTTCCCGCCAAATTTTCCCGCCAAAAATTTTCGGCAAAAATTTTCCCGCCAAAAAATTCCGACAAAAAAAATTTCCGCCAAAAAAAAATTTCCTCCCAAAATTTTTTCCGGAATTCCTTAAAAAAACCTTGTAAATATTTATAAATCCTTAAAAAAATCCTTTAAAAACCCTTGTAAATCTTTTAAAAGTCATCCAAAACCTTTCAAAACTTGAGTAAACCTTTTAAAACCATTGTAAATCATTTTACAATATTTATAAACACTTGTAAATCCCTTTAAACCCCTTATAACCGTGATAAATCATTTAATAAAAACTTTTGTAAACTTCTAAAACCCTTTAAAAATCCTTGTAAATCCTTAAAAACCATTTTAAAGAACTTGTAATACCTTTAAAAACTTTTGTAAACCCTTCAAAAACCTTTGTAAACTTCTAAAACCCTTTAAAACTTCTTGTAAATCCTTTGAAACTATTTTTAAATCTTTGTATGCCTTTAAATACACTTTTAAATCCTTTTAAAAACACTTGTAAATCCTTTTAAAAAACCTTTAAAAATCCTTGTAAATTTTTAAAAACCTTTAAAAATCCTTGTAAATCCTTTTAAAACTGTTATAAACTTATAAAAACTTTTAAAAACCATTGTAAATCATTTAAAAACCATTTGAAAACCTTTTTAGGCTTCTAAAACCCTTTAAAAACCATTACAAATCTTTTAAAAACCATTTAAAAACTCTTGTAAATCCCTTTAAAAACCCTTGTAAACCCTTTAAAAGACCCTTTAAAAAATCTTGTAAACCCTTTAAAAAATTTGGCGGGAAAATTTTGAAAAAATAATTTTTTTTGCTGGAAAATTTTTGCGGAAATTTTTTTGGCGGGAAAATTTTGGCGGGAAATTTTTTTGGCGGGAAAATTTTGGGGGGGGGAATTTTTGGATGGAATATTCCTTCCTTTGGGAAAGAATATTCTTTCAAATAGGGGTAAAATGGCCATTAAAATATAAGAGAGGGCAAAAATGAAAATGGTAAAAAAAGAGGGTATTTTTAAAAGAGGGTATAATAAAAAGGTTATTGGTATCAATTTCTCTTTAATCTATATTAACATTTTTGCAGCAAAATTGGAAAAAACCCTTGGGGTTGAGAGTTATTTACAAGAGAATGCCATTCCATTGATATTAATTTTTTTAAAAAATCGAAATCACATTTAATTCAAAAAATTAACTTAATCTCATTCTCCTTAAATCTCTCCAAAAACTACCAAATCAATCTTTCATTAAATACATAAATTAAAAATGGATTAAAATTCAGTTACTATTTCGGAGAAAATTAACACAACAGTTTGCAAAAAATTTAGGAATTTTAACATTTTTCTTCATCTATATATACATTTTTCAAGTACATTTTTTTAAAAGAAACCTTGGGAGTTGAACTTATTTACAATCATATGACATTAGCATTTATTATTTATTCAAGAAGATATATAACTAATAAATAGAAAATACCATGTCTAATATCTTCATATAATCTTATTGTTTTGAAAATTAATTTATTCCATAAAATATATGCATAATTAAAATACATTTTTTCTGGATATGTTGCAATTTGTATTTTTGAAAATAGACTCATATTATGCGAACACATAGGGAAGCAATTACTATAATTTTTTCTAAGTAACATTTATACACGTGTTGTATGACGGATTGTGTGACGGTTTTATGACATGTTGTATGACGGTTTGTATGACGGGACGAGTATGAGTCTTAAACTTTAAACCGGGTTAAAATTTTATTGTATTATTTTTTACAACACCAATATAAGACATGTGAATCAAATTGATTTCATTATATTAATCAAACTGATTTCATTATGTTTGATATTATGTAATCTTAATAATTTTTAAATATATTTTAGTATAATATAAATTTTGAATATTATAAAAAAATCTAAAAATAAAAAAAAATTGCCCCGCGGTGTACCGCGGGTTAAAATCTAGTATTATTTAAAAAAATAAAAAAATCACAAGAACCTTATTTAATATTAACGAAAGGAAAAATAAATCTAGACTCTGGTAAAATTATATATTCTGGTTCTTTCTATGTAAGTCTTGGCTTTTCGGGTCCTCTCTATCTCTTTCCTTTGTTTAATTTTCATCTATATCTGCTCTTAATTTGATTTTTAGGGTTTGTTGTTTCTCTTCTTTTTCTTGACGTCCGTCTTCTTCAGCAATTGCACTTTTATTTATGCTGTTCTGGTGCTTTGATCACGAATTCGATAGGAATTGTACAGTCTTTCGAGGTTTATAACTTTACAGACCAAACTGCTTACATTCTTTCTTCTTTCTTACGTTGGCAACATCTTGTCTGATATATAGCATCTCACTTTCCATTGAAAAGCTTCCCTGTAATCATTTGTGATTTGATATTTGTGATGATGATCTTGTTTGTTTCGACAAGGTGTTTATTGGTAGATTTGTTTTTTTAGTAGTATTTGTCCTTGTGAGCTATGAGTAGAGATTCCAAAGGAAGAGCATGGTATGATAAATTCTACCGTAAATTGGAAACGATTCTTGTGGAGGTGGACAGTTTTGCTTCTCAGGTACTTTTCCTAGTTCCCAAGTCTCTGTGTGTTTGATGATTCCAACTAAAGGATGTGGAGTAAAAGGAAAGCTTTATGACTATATTAACATGTAATCAGACAGCCCGCACTTCCCTTTTCCACAAAGATCCGATATCTCAATCTACTCACCGCTCCCCGGAAAGCTTTATGACTATATAACCTGTAATGATGATACATTTGTATCTCCCTCTGGGATTTATACGGGTGTTTCACATCTAATCCCATCCACTACAGAGATTCAAGCTGCACATGTTGAAGACAGAGTGGCCAGTACTAGATCCTTTAGCAGCAACTCTATGAAAGGTTTGTGTGTGTTGTCATCATTTTTTCTTCCAAGTTTTGGAATTGCTATTATGTGCAGTTTTTGTTAGTTTCATCATCTTCAACACTTCATGTGTAGTAGTTAATAATGATGAGTTCTTCATTGAAGACTTCGATGTTGGTCCATTAGAAACTATTGATTTGTATGACATGACATCTCGAGAAGACCCCTCAGATTTTGACAACAATTTGCTATATGCAACGCGTGACAGGACTAAGCAACTCAGATCATTCAAGGTCCTCTCTCCCTCCCTCTTTTTGTTACACATATTGCATATACACAAAGACAAATAGTCACATTCATAGATGTGTTTGTGTACTTTCAACAGCATAGATGGGTCTACTTCTTCATCATACAATCAATTTCTTATAAGTAGTTCAGAATTGTTGTCATGTACATACAATTAATAACGTATTAATTACGATAAATATGATAATTAATAACGTATTAATTATGTATTAATTACACAAGAATATCATACGCCACTCCTACACTCTTAGTAACTTAACCTCATTTACCAAAAATAAATAATAATTTGTATATTCATAATAATACAAATACCTACCCAACTTATTTTTCCTAAAGAGACCGAACATAAAATCGATTTGTCATAAGTAGTTCAGTATTGTTGTCATGTACATGTAATAGATAGATATCATCGTTCATCTTCTTTGTTAATGTTCACCACTAGATTCCTATTAAATTATGATAAATATTGTATGAGTTACACAAGAATATCATACCTCAGTCTACACTCTTAGTAACTTAACCTCATTTGTTATAAATAAATAATAACTTGTCTTTTCATAACAATACAAATACCTTTCGTAAGTTATTTTTTCCTAGAGAGACCAAACATAAAATCGATTTGTTATAAACAGTTCAGAATTGTTGTCATGTACATATAATAGATAGATGTCGTTGTTCATCTTCTTTGTTAGTTTTGATGTAAACATGTTATGATATTTTAGTTTGGATTCATTTATTTAGCTTTTATAGTAATGTAAATCTTCATTCATGTTTGTTTTTAAAAATTTTAGTAGTAATTTTAAAACTAAACTAATGCTACTATAAAAATTATATATATTCTCATCTACCTCCTGTGTCAGCTTCTTTTACAATCAATTAGAATTAAAAAAATATCGAAGTTCTTCTTCTCATGTAATCTTCTTCTCATGTAATATAAAAGTTATTTGGCTTATGATCTCTCTTTTTAGTTTTTACATAACTATAGTTTAAATGCTTTTATAATCTAAATTGAAGTTTTTTTTATAAATAAGGTTTAAAACAATATATCATATGTTTCAAATGAAATCTTTTAATTTGATATTTTGAAAGTTTAACTTGATCATTTTTAAAATTCAATTTAATTTTAGGTAATGATAAAATATAAGGTGAGTAAATGCTCATAACTAAAGTCAATTTTGCTTACTTTTAATATTTATAATGTACACAAAATATTTTTTTTCATCAAATCTACAGTTGCCTTTTATATTGTGTATGTGCTAATTTTGTATTACTTTGTTTAGATCTCATTCAGTTTTATATTTTCCAAATATACTTTTCGTTTATTTTTAATGTTTACAATGTACACAAAATATGTTTTATACAAATTTTGCGACCGCGTTCCATTTTTTTTGTGCGTTAATTATTTTTTTTTAAACATAAAAATTAATATTATTTTATAATAAACATATAAATGAATATAAACATATTATTTTGTTAAAATTATTTTCAAAACATATACTAACACTTATACACTATATTTAACTTAATATAATTTTAAATTAATATTTCATATTTAACTAACTTTTAATTACAAAACAATACTATATATATATATATATATATACTTGCTTACAAAAAATTGGTCCTTAATTTTTTCTTTTAAAGATCATACATTTTATGAAAGTTATATTAATTAATACATACTTATATATATATACATATATCTGATTTGTGAATAATATGATAGTTATCCTTTGATTTAAATTCATTATATTATTTTCTCAACTATTTGATAATAGAAAATTAAATAAATTTTGTTGGTTAAATAGTTACATAGAAATAATTATCTTATAAATACTTTTATCCAAATTTTATATAAGATCTACTGATTTATTATACTGAAAAACAATCAAGCTTTCTCTAATTTCAGTATTTATCATAGATTTGACCATACTAAAAAATCTCTTTAATTCTTCTCTCATAAATTAACTTTTTAAAATTAGAAATAATGTTTTAAATAATTTATTACCCATATTAATAACTTTAAAAAGGTATCTTTAAAGTAGTAGGAAAAAAGTTCATTACAATTTTCTTTGAATAAATAATTATAACAATTTTCTTTGAATAAAAAATTATAACAATTTTCTTTGAATAAAAAATTATAACAATTGTCTTTGCATAAAAAATTATAACAACTTTATTTTATGTTTAGCTTATATGATATTTAATTTAATTAAAAACTAAAGTTAGGATAAACATATTTTTGCAACAATGACACTTTTTAAAAAGCAAACTATACACATAACATATAACTTACAACACATATCATAATTTTTGTTTTTTGAAATGTTAGATTAGAGATTGTAACGCCCGTGTTCTGTAAAATAATATGAGAGTTGAGTGTGTATATAAGAATTAGGGTGGACTCGGTTTAATTCTGGTTGATTTCCTAAGCTGGTCGATTTGTCAATTGAATCAAAGGAGGTTTAATTAATGTCGGTTTAGGTAAATCATGGTTTAACCAGATTAAACCAAAAACCCTAACTTTTATAAGGAGCACTTCTTCTCTCTTTTGTTTTGTTGCTGTTGTTTCTGAGAGTTGAGTTGAGAAAAGGAGAAGGAGAAGTTTACTTGTGAGGTATCAAATCTTACCGAAAGGTAATGAATTTTGGTAGGTTTGTATTTAAGGCGTGTACGTTGATTCTCCTTTTTACAGAAGTGAATTCGGATTAATACTCAGTGAGTTTTATGCAGTTTGGTGAGACGCGTTTTCTCTGTTGCGAACTGGGATCATCGGAGTTTGTAAGTGCGATCGTGGTTTCATCGTTTCTCCGATCGGCACCAATTTTTGTGGGCAGCTTTGAGACGTCTGGATCTTGCTTTTCACCGTAGTGATTAAGAAGTTAACGGTGGGTTTATGTTTTAGGGCCTCGTTTCTGCGGCTGTAGTTTTTCTGCTGTTTCTGTCCTTTTGGTTCTTAGAGATTTTTGTTTGTGTGGTTTGTTGTAGGGCGTTGTTTGGCTGTTGCAGTCGCGAGGAGAGTTTTTCCTGGTTGTTTTTGAATTCAAATCACCTTGTTAAGGTGAGTGCGTGACCATGAGCTTATCTAAGCGATTGGGATCGAGTGACTTGTTTTGTGACGATTTGTAGGTGAATTGGATGTTTAGCTTGCTGGATGGTTTGTTTTGTTATATATGTGGGTGTTATCTCATTGCTTGTGTGTATAGTTCGTAGATGGGAGGATCGCCCTCACTAAGTATGTATGAAATACTTATGCATCTCTTTCTTTGATGCAGGTAAAGGCAAAGTGTGATCCGTGGAATCATGGCGAGGAGAGGAGGATGATCTAGGCGATCATTGGTGTTTTAGATTATTGTTGGATTTGTTAGGGTGTTAGAATGGAATTTAGAAACATGTTAGGATGATCATGTTTTGGAATAATGTTTGGTTGAACTTGATGGTTTAATGAAATTGTTTTATTGGATTTTTGGTTAAGTCTTCCGCTGGTTAATATTGTTGGTTTACTTTAATGAGATTTCTTGGTTTAATTGATTTAAATTATTATGGCCCGGTTAAGCTGGTTTGAATTAATTGGGTTAATTCGGTTTGCATGTTTAAAAGAAAAAAAATGGGATGGTTTCTTTCAGAGATTAATAAAAATGACACATGTCAGAAGCATAGAGCGACACGTGTCGCATTGTGAAGCAAAGTTAAGAAGAAACCTTATCTTATCATATAAACTAAAGTTAGGGAAAACATAGTTTTGCAACAATGACACTTTCTAAAAAGCAAACTATACATATAACATATAACTTACATCACAATATCATATTTTTTTTTTTTTGAAATGTTAGATTAGAGATTAATAAAAATGACACATATCAGAAGCATAGAGCGACACATGTCGCATTGTGAAGCAAAGTTAAGAAGAAACCTTATCTTATTATATAAGATATAGTAGATTGTTACAATATTGGCCAACAAAGGCCCGATAGAGCAAAAACAAACAACCCCTTTAGTTAATACTAACCTAAGTCCACACCATACACCCAACATGCATATACAAAAATATGCTCACAGACTAGCCATATTAGCCATATTAGCAAAAAAAAAATTTAATCAAAGGTAGCAACTCTTTCTTCAGCAAAAACTTTTCAACCCACCATGGATGACTTGAGGCCACATAAGAATGTAACCTACCTTCATCTGTAACGCTTTGTGCAATAAGAAATGCTACTTGGTTTGAAGATGAGTTTTGCAAAAGTATTTCCAGTCTTTAAAAGACCCTCGCTTCCGACAAACCTCCATAGATTGGTATCTAAATGAAGGCCAAGCTGAAGGCTTGATAATTGCTTTTATCAATCGCTCCTCTTGCATTGCAAATATCACCTTCTTAACTATGTGACTTCTCATACATTCAATGCCCCTTAGAAACCCTTGAAAGTGGGCTCAAACTTATCTATGACATTAACCATAGCCGTTCTACTATGCATTAAAACCACCCCAGTGTGATCTCTATGTACCCAAGTATAACTAGCCACTCTTTTTCTACTGGACCAAGAGACACCAATATTGCATTTTTACCAGTTCAAGGGTGGCGCACTCCACAAATTTTTAACTTGCAACTGAGGAATACTCTGGCTATTTCGAAGATTTTTTCGCCCCACCATTTCTCCTCCTTGGACTCTTTTTCCACCTTTTGAGCATCAGACCGTTGCAACCAGTCCTCTTTACTTTTTTTTAATTGATTCTAAAGGAGAGAAATGTTTTTCTTTAAAGGTAACCAAATCTCTGTTTTTTCCAAATCATCCAAATACTCCAAGGAAAGGTTTTTCTCAATTCTTCAAACCAAGACGAATTCTTCATGTTGCTCTGAAGGTAATGAATAGTGGAGAAAATAGACCCTTTGTAAAATCCTTCTTCTGGAGAGGGTATACCTGATAATGCCCAAATCTTTCTTGAAAGAGAACATGTGGAAAGAACATGATTGACCGTCTCTTCATCCTTAGCACAACTATGGCATCTATCATCCAACTTTATTCATTTCCCTTTTATAGTAGCAATAACCGGAAGAGTCCCAAACAAGACCTCCCAAAGGAAAACCTTGATCTTTGGATCAGTTTGGACATCCCATATTTGAGCTTTTAAATCATTTATTAAAGGCAGTTTAGATGCTTTATTCCTAATCTGCTCATTGTTGGACTGGGAAGCCAACCAATTGGGAAGCCAACCAATAGGCATATTTAATAGAGAAATCTCCACTTTTGTTGTACTTCCATAAATAAAAGTCTTCTACCTCAGTGACAGGCTTAATCCTTTTTATTCTTTGAATGCACTGTGGTAAGAAATGATATTCCAAAGCTTCTTAGTCCCAGTCTCGATTAGCACTGTTTATCAATGTAAAGATTCTTAAATCAGGATTTAAGAGGTTATTTCTCCTCCAAGGAGCTCTCAATTCTTCATCTTCAGTCCAATGATCTATCCATACCTTAAAAGAACTTCCATTTCCAATGTTCTTCTTAACCCCATAATTAGACGATCTCTTCAGTTTTATATGCTTCTATAAGCAAATGAGGGTCAGGGGCCTAGAGTAGCATTCATAAAATCCTCATCGGGGAAATACCTACTCTTCATAATTTGCGAAAACAAACAGTCGAAGAACTATATTATCCTCCAACCTTGTTTTGCAAGGAGAGGTTGATTAAAGGTTTGGATGTCCCTAAAACCTAGACCACCATACTCCTTAGATAGACATAACTTATCCCATCTCTGCCAATGGATTCCTTCAGCATGCTAAGCATTACTCCACCAAAAAGCAGTAGTGGCACTTGATAACATCATGTAGTTTTTGGTAGTGAAAAGCATGACATAACAAACACCGACATAGCCAAAGCAACTGGTTTTAACAAGATCTTCTTTTCCATCCTAAGAAAGAAATCTAAAAAACCAATCCATAGAGCTTTGCCTTCAATCTATCTTTGTTATAACTCAAGATTTCCACTTTAGAACCACTAAAACACTCAGCCCATTTCCCATAGTACAAAGAGAAAAGGAGATAGTGATCATACCAAAAGTTTTACTTTAATTAAGATAAAAATAAATAAATAAATAATAAACGTAATTTTCGGTGAGCCCTTTTCTCTCTCTCTCTCTCTCTCTCTCTCTCTACTCCAACCTAACCACCGTGAACCGTCGCGACTCGCGACCGTAACTCGAGTACCACCGCCGTCACTTTCACAATCTCCCTCCCATGGCGTTCGAAGGATTCCCACCTCTAATCGCGGATCAGCTCCACTACTTACTCAATCACTCTCCTGATTCCATCAAGGTAACAACAACACCATCATCAATTTCAAAGCTTCGATCATCTTCTCTGATTCGTTTCAGAAAATTAGGGTTTATAATCTGATTTGGTTCTATGTAGATTGAAAATGTATGGTCTGGTAACAAGATTAATCCCAAGATCCTCGATCGGTTTACTTTGGTGATACCTTATTGTCTAGACAATATTAAATGTAAGTGTTGATTCTTCCGTTGATTACGCAGTGATTGTGTTGTTGAAGAAGATCTTTGATTTCGTGGTTCTTAACTATGGCAGGGGATGTTATTTACAATTCAGAGTATTCAATTGATGCTCCTGATTTCGTATTTGGACCTGATGATGAAGATTTTGTGCCGTGTAGTAGCACTATTGTTCCTGATGATGATGATGATCAGATATCGTCGTTGAAGAAGGCTTTGTCTGAGTGGGATAACAAGGATTCGAAGCGGTTACATGTTCTCATTCAAGGATTTAGGTTGCTTTCCTTTGAGTTTTGCTTGCCATGGTTTAAAAATCTAACAAGTTTTATGTATTTGCTTTGCGTAATTGTTGTTTCTCTTTGATTAATGTATTGTGTAGGGATCAGTATGTGGCGTATCAAAGAAGGAGAGTCGGCCAAGTTGATGATGATCGCGTCAAGTTTGAGATTAGTACCGTGTTAACTCGCAAGGTATTATAGTGATGGAAAAAAAGAAGCAACTGTGTTTGAGCTAAGGCTTCTTCAAGCATATTGTTTATGTTTATTTCTAGGCTTGGCATTAAAGGATGGATTGATAAGTAATTTTGTTTTTTGGTTTGGGATTTTTTTTCTTGGCGGAAGAACTGTAATCAGTATTTAGTTAGAACTTCCATCGTTCTCATTGTTTATGTTCTTCTTGTTCCTCTGTTCTCAGGGAATTGAAATGCAAATGGTTTCAGGAATTGACAAGGTATATATTGGTTTTTAGATTCTTTGTGAAGTAAGATGCATTGTATGCATTTGACTTTCTACTATCTTTGATGTAGCCAGAGGAAGTTAAGTTTGCAGTACCTCTTGTGATGGATATGAACATAAACAAAATGATGGTTGTGTGCCCTTGGAAGCATCAGCAGAAAATTTATCTTCAGGTTTTCTACTCGTTCCTATAAGTCTCTTTTAGCTATTCTTTACTAAAATTGCTAGTCTCTTCTTAATATACTGGTTACGGATGTAGGTAGTGTACCCGATTGTTCGGAAAATTGAATCAACACCTTCAGCACCTCGTTTGAAATTAGTGTCTTCTTCTGAATTAAAAGCGCTATTCTCTGTTGACGATGTTAAACTTCCTCCATGGATGAATGAGATGTAAGTTACATGTGCACAGAGTTTACAATACCTGCAAAACATGCATGTTCTGAACGCTATGTTTAACACCCCTTGAATCTATATTTCAAAGGTGCTTGGCTGAATATCTTCCCCATCTCGAAGAAACCCTTGAGAGACAAGTAAGTTGAACTAAATCTTCTCACACATACAAAATTGTATTCAATTTGTCGATATGAGGGCCTTATCAAGCTTTGTTTCCAGATCCAGGAAGCTGTTTCTGCAATTGATTCAAGGAGGAGTTTTATCGAGGCATTGACTCTTTTTCTTGGAAGACCTCTTGAAGCTGATCCTGTAAGCATTTCCTGGCACGCCTTGGCATATGTTTAGAAATATTTCCGAGTTGCTTAACTTTCTTATTTGTTTTTCTTTCTAGACCTTTTGCCGTCAGGCTACATTCCTTACTGCCTCTGGACAATTTACTTTCATGGTAACTCTATCACTATTCATGTTTCAAATTTGTCTTCTAGAGAAATCAAGTTTCACAGTAAATATATAGCAGTGGATTACTAGATTTTTTGGCTTTGTTGTAGGTTCATTTCTTCTTTTCAACTCAATTTCCGAAGCAGCAACCAACTCTAGTGCTTCAGAGTTGTCAGGTATCTAACTATTTGTAAACAAATCAAACAAAAGGCTTTGGGTTTCCCTATATTTCTTTAAGTTTTAAGAACTGATAAGCTTTTGATTTGCAGCATTTAAACCAATCGAGCGTACCTGTGAAATCAAACCTCTTCACCGAGTATCCATGGAGTCCAAGATGGGAAGTGGGTCGAATGGCTGAGCGAGTGTGGTTAGTCTCTTCGGACTCTTCCTTAGATATCTCATTAACTAATTCTCCATCGTAACATACAAAAGCTTACTTATTTTTGCAGTGACTTCTTGACCGATGAGGCTGTGAACTTCAAAAAGTATTGTAATGAAGTTGTGCTCCAACATTAGAGTATTTAGACTATGAGTTTGTCTTAAATTTCTGTGTCACATTCCTCCTGCTATGTTAACTCAAATGCTGTACATTTCTATTTCAATGATTCAACTGAATGACAAAAGTCTTTAAAGTTTTGAATCTGACTACAGGATGGATCGAGCTGACATGTCTAGCAAAAATGTTACACTATGATGAATAAGGGGATTGTCTTAAATACCATGAAAATGGGTATTTTTTTTTCTAAAAGTACCATTATAAGTTTTATTTTCCAAAAATACCACTAAAAATACATTTTTTCCAAAAATAGCACAGACCTAAAATAAATTTTAAAAATTCAAAACTAATTTTAAAATTATAAACACTAAACCATTCCCCTAAAAACTATACCCTAAGTATAAATAGTCAACCCAAACATTAAAAAAAAAACTACATCTTCAAAAATCAACTTTTTATATTATGGTATTTTTGGAAAAATAAAACTTTTATTTTATTTTTGGGAAAAAAAAATTATGGTATTTTTGGAAGAAAAACTAAAATGATGGTATTGAAGGGAATTTCTCTTCAAGATTTTAGATTTTAGGGAATCTAATCTTTAGCTTTGGTACGTTATTTTTCTCGAAAACAAAAAAACCATATTTTTGAGATTTTTAATAGAAAAATTGATAAAAAATCCAAAAACAAAATCTATAATTCAAAAACTAAAAGGGTGAATTTCAAAAATACCCCTTTTCATATACGTCTTTTAAAAATACCCCATTTTCAAACCCACTAAAAATGTTGAAATTTATCCAAATATGTGTTTAAGCTTATAAATATATACATAAATTACTTTTATATGTGTATAAAACTTTATATACCTTTCATAAATAGCGTAAAAATAAATTATAAAAACCTTATAAAAACCTTATAAAAACCGTATAAACCCTTTTAAAACCTTTTAAAAACCTTATATAGCTTATAAAACGATTTAAAACTATTTAAAAAACATTTTAAAATATTTTTATCGAATCTCCCAGTAGTAGTTATTATATAGATGTACCTTATAAACTATATAAAACTTTATAATTTTGTATATTTAAAAAGGGGGTATTTTTGAAAATGGATAGAAAAATGGGGTATTTTTAGAAAGAGGTACACCAAAAGGGGTATTTCTCAAAAATTCTCAAACTTTAAAAACCAAATCCAAAAGCTGAATTAAAAAACCACATCCATTCATGGCTTAATGATTCTTAACCTAAGTAGTAGTTACATTTTTGTTATTCCCCACCCATTTTTGATTTTAATCTCTTTTAATCAATGGTTGACCAAAAAAAAATCCCTTTTAATCAATTTAGGGCTTTAGATGTCGCAAAGAGCCATTTGACTTCCTAAACATTATTCGTATCCTAGAAAAACATCATGTAACAATAATTTGAATGAAATACTGTAAATTGGTAATATGGAAATATATGTAAAAGGATTTGAAGTTTAGTAGGATTAACAAAAAGGAAACTAAAACAAAACTCACTTAAGGTCAAAGAGAGTAAGAAAATGGAAACAACGTCAATAATATCTTATGTTTAAGCTTTACTTATGTTTCACTTATATTTTTTAAAATTTTAATTACTCCCTCTTTTTTATTAGTTATCGTTTTAGAAAAAATAATTGTTTCATAACAATTATCGTTTTAGATTTTCAATTCAGATGTTTGATAATATCCAAAATTTTTAACAAATTAATCAATAAGAACACTAGAAAATACATTAAAGGATGGTAGAATAGAAAATTTAAATGCTTTTATAATCTGTGTGAAAAAACCTTAAATCGATAACTAATAAAAAACAGAAGGATTACGTTTTAGTTTGTAATATTTACAGAATTTAATTACAACATATAAAGAATATATATATCTTATTAATGTAATATTCTATTATTTTCTGAAATATAGTTGAATTATTTTTTTTTATAGAAATTTACGCGTCTTTGTGAAGAAGATTGAGACTCGGTATTTGTATTTGTTCTCGTTGAAGACATCATTATAAAAAAGAAAGAAATATAAAAACTCTCATCAATAAATTCAAAATTAATTTTTACTATAATATTTTTTTGCAAAGGTTTTAGCAAATAGATATTGGATTTGGATTTCTTTACACTCATGTCATTGCATTATATCTATTTTGCTAGTATTAATTATTTAAATTTTGGAATAAATACTGATCATAAAAAACAAGAGAATTGCAACAAAACTTAAATAATAAGTATTATGCAAATATTATGCAAAGCTTGTGCAAATATTATGCACAAAGAATAGTTATTTGACATTAAAAATATAACTCAACTGAAAGAAAGTAAAACTCATGAAAAGCTATTTTAACCTAATTATAAGTTTTTGATTCAAATATTAAAGAGAAAATTGAAGGAATGCAAAGAAATGAAAGTGAATAAAGGCATAATCAATATGTTACATATAATTACCATTAGAATATATTATTTTATATGGTGCATTTGCAGCGTCTATGAACGAGTACATCCGTCCATGTTCATAATGCCACTTGCTTCGTGGTTATACAATGTAGCATACCGAAGAAATGTATATGAATCTCTATTTTATCGGTATGTTGTTGAAACTCTCATGAGTCTTCCATTAAAAGAGTACAAAGCTAGGTACACAGAATCACTTAATGTTCCTAATGGTGATAAAAATATTCCTAATGGTAAAATTAATTCTATGTATCACCATCAGTTTGTTATATTCTCGAAATTATTCAGGTTGCAAATAAATAACATCTTATAAAAACCTTATAAAACTATATTTCAGATAAAATATTAAACTATACCTTATAAAAATCTTATAAAAGCTTTGTAAATTTTTAACAAGGTTTTTAAATGGTCAAATATTCTGAAATTTTGGCAAGTGAATCGATTCCACAACTTTGGTGGAATTTTTTTTAGTTTTGGCGGGGAAGTTTTTTTCCTTTTGGCGATATTATATTTTCAATTTTGGTGTGAATTTTTTTTTTTGGATTTTGGAGAGAAATATATTCAATTTTGGCTGGAACAAATTTCAATTTTGATTACTTGACATTCTGTGATGTCAATAAATGAAAGGTAGTTAAATCATATCTAAACTTCTAAGAGTTTATTTCAAGTCTCAAACCATTGATCAAGAAAGTTTCAAGGAACCATTTAAAGAAGCATCATTGCTACAATGAGTGGAGCTATTACTCTAATCCTCATTATAATTCTATTATATGATTGATATAGATATTTAAGATCTTAGGGTTCATGTTAAAAGTATGTTTAACATGTGGTATCAGAGCTTCTGGTTCTGGTTATGAACATCTAATTAATCCATTAAAAATAATAGATCAATGGTTTAAGGAACTGAAAATGAACGTTGTGATTAGTTACTATAGACAAAGTGGTTTTGTCCACACATATCTTACCATAAACTTTTTGTCCTCGCTACAATAGACTAGAAAAATATATTAAAAATTAAAAACAACGTAAAAGTGGATAGAAGTATATAATGATCGAAAGACGGATTTAGTCCATGAACACCAAACCAATGGACTAAACCGTCAAAAGTGGTCTGTCTTTTACTAACCAATCAAAAAATTTATTTCTTTTGTTTTTTTTACTATAACAACAAGAAAACGAAGTCAGTCAAACATATCAATCAATTACTTTCTTTACTCTTATGAAATGACCAAAATAAAGCGATGAAAATATTATCCCAAAAATAGTTGAAACTAAAAATAGAAGAAAATTATAGAAGCGATATAAGAGAAACTTGAATGAAAGGAAACACAATCGGATTATAGATTTAGAAGCATGTTAGGACTTGCTGATTTGCCTTGGTTGTTGAATATTTTTGGGGGAATTATTTATTTATTGAAGTTGGTTTATTTTATTTTCGTTGGTTGCATGTTTGTTTAATTTGGAACGGTTAAGTAATAAGTATGTGATTATTATCTAATAATTTTTTTTAATAAATGGGCTGGGTTATTTCATAAACCATATCAGTATGGAATGATCTATGGATTCTAGCTTTATGCAATGGTTCCATTTCGGAATTAATTCTAATAGTCATTCATTTAATTGACTCCCTCTTGCGGTTATCCGCCTCGTCGATAAGAATCTGATGGTACCCCTACGCCACGGGAGATATATCTAATCTAGAGATATGTTCGGGGGTGTTCAGACTTATTTGCTCGGATGACACGTGATAGCCTCGGATGACGATTTGAGAGCACGCTTTAGGGTAACAACCCGAGACCGAGAGTGACTCCATGGATACCGTAGCTTGAAGGTTGAGGGCCTGATATTGAGCCGGTATGACTTGAATGTTGCGACCTAGGAGTGGGGGGAGTAGTGAGATTTCCTGCATACCGAACTCTAAAGGCAGAGCCATTATGATGAGCCGGTATGATACATGGGTTGCGACCTGTGAACAGTCGGTCAGTCGGTTTGTTTTAATTTTTGAAATTGATTTGGTTGGATTGTTTAACCCTAGGGTCATGATTAAAAGAGGAGAGTCAACTTTTTGGATAGTTTAACCGCTTTTGTTTATTCAGAGTGAAGAAGGTTTCTAAGGTTCCAGTGAGGTTTGAATGTGTTTCTTGATAGGTCTAGCTTAGAGGCTTGTGCTTCCTCTTTGGTGCTGTTTTCGTTTTGGTTTCTTCTGATTTAAAGGTGAGTGCATGACCAAGGCTTATCTAAGCAGTTTTGATTCATGTTTGGTGATTTCTATGATTGTTGATTGATTTCCTTGCTTGTATGCCTTTTTCTGTGTTGTGATGCCTTTGTACGTCCCTTTGGAGGGTCTCAAACGACGATGGAGTGAAAGGAGAAGGAGTTCCGTTGAAGAAAAGCGACTGGACTCTGGAGTGATGTTAGGGTTTCAGTGTCGCTTGACACCAGTGGTAGGTACACCAACATTTTGTGTCGCGAGTGACGATCGACACGAGTGGTGGGTGTCGATCGACATATATTCATCAGTTTGTTTGTTTGTTTGCCTTCCATCTTTGTCATCTCCTTGAAATATATTCTTTAACTTGGGATATTGTTTAATGTTGTTTTTACCATTAATACTATATTATTTTGACATTTCTTGTTTTATATGCTAGTTATTAATTTGTAAGGCTATATTAATTACAAATTTTTT